ATAACCACAAATGCAACATATAAGAATCGCGTGTTTTACTATCGCAAAGACGTCTGGTTACGAATTGAAAAATACAATTTAGAATTTTTGCCAGCGAACACCTTTGAAGAAGTTTCCAAAGTATGTAAATTAATAATTGAAAAGATGCATCTTTAACGCCTCACACATATTAGTAATTGATTGTTATGTTTTATTTCAGGAGACTGAGAAACAATTCTTAGACAATAGTATTTTGGGATATTCTACTGTCCGATTTGTTCCCAAAGGCCTAAAAGGAAAGATGCGGCGTATTATCAATCTAAAGAGAGTGCAAAATAAGGTAATATTTAAATGATTATTACCATTTTTCGAGGTATTCTTATTTACCTGGTTAGCATTAATTTTAGAATAATTTAATTATTACATTATCTTTACCTGATAAATGAATATCTTATTTCATAGGTGCCTGGTAAAAGAGGGCAGGAGAAATCTGTGAACACAGTCCTACGAGATACATTTCAAGTTTTAACATTTGAAAAGGTGGTATTGGTAGTTTTTATGACGTTTTTTTATAATTTTATTTTTATTGCTAAATGACCCTTGGTTGAAATGTTCAATTTCAGGATATGTTATCATCGGATAAAAAGTCTTATGGATTAGGTGGTTCAGTGTTCAATTTTAATGAGATTTATGAACGTTTGAAAGATTTTTAAACAAAATCTTACTGAAAATGGGCGCACACGGTATGTTAATGCGTATATAGCTCTGATTTATGGTTATTAATTATTTGTGATTACGTATAATTACTAGCCTTTTGATTTTTATAGATCAAAATTGTACTTTGCAATAAGTGGATGTTCAATGTTGTTTCGAATCAATTGATCAAGATCAAGTCTTGGGAATAGTTAAAGACGTATTAAAAGAAGTAAGTCCATCTCTTTTTTACGCATTATCAGAGAAAAAGTAAACAATAACATCTTTATTTTAGAGGGACTATGCAATTCATAAATATGATATGGTTTGCCAGAAGGGTAGTGCAGTGCGTGCACTTCATAACTACTACGCTAACTCAACATGTACGTATTAACCAGTTTTATATAATTTTTTTGATTATTGCGTTTATGTTTGTGTTAACATGAAATGATATCATAGATGATTTTCCTGATTTTCCGACCTTTGCAAGAGAATTAGCACAAAAGCGCTCAAATTCAATTTTTGTTGATCGCGTTAGGGAATGGTATCGAAATAAGGAGGATATACTTGATCTTTTAGAAAAGCATATTAAGTGCAATTTAATAAAAGTATGATTCCGAAACTTCTATATTATATCGTGTAATTTGCAGTTTCCTAATACAACAATATGCCATGTTTATTAATAGATTAGAGACAAGTCTTACAGGCAGTGTACCGGTATTTCACAGGGGTCAGTCGTATCAACACTGCTTTGTAGGTTAGCACCGGAACAATTGACGTTTGTTTTTTTCCTTATTATATATACAGTATACATTGATGACTTATAATCATTTATAATCAATTTTTAGCTTTTATTATCGTGAGATGGAATGGGAAGTGCTTCCTTTTGTAAAACATGATGATGGCGTAAGTAAATCTACGTATAGATTTTAGTAGATTTGGTGTTCCTCTTAGCTAAAGATTGAATTCACAGGTCATGTTACGTTTTCTTGACGATTTCCTATACATAAGTACTGACAAAGAAAAAGTTGAAAGATTTATAACTGCAATGCATAAAGGTGACAATTACGACATACGTATCTTGAATGGGTTTTGTAATTTTATTAAATACATGTTTTATTTTAGGTCATCCAAAAGTTAAGTGTGTTATTAACAGAGAAAAGAGCTTAACAAACTTAGATATTATTATTGATGGGGAGTCGATAGAGAAATTGAGTAATACGCTCGGTATATATATTAAATGTTTTGTTGCTATAGTAATTTTAAGATTTTTTAACTTACATGAAAATGGACTTTAGATTTTCCATGGTGTGGAATTCTAATTCATACATCTACATTGAATTGCAAAGTTGATTATACGCGATATAGCTTTTCACGTAGGTCGTTCTAATTTATTATTCAATATAACTTATGTATGTTATTCATTACGTATTTTGATAAAATCGCGTAGACATTGCGGATACTTTAACAGTTAAGACATC